AAGTCTTATCATTGTTTTCTAAAAGGAGGTCAGCAAACCATGAAGATACCCAAGCAGATTTGGGACGTATAATAACATCTCTGCTCAGTTAACAAAAAAGCAAACACAAACAAAGGTGAGCTGGTGGAAAGTAGTCTGCCTGGCCTGTGACGCGTAGGGTTTTCTGTAGATTGAGTCTGTGTTTGGGTCACAGATTGTGAACTGAAGAGTATTAACAGCAGCACATCAGACTGGAGGGTGACAGCGATTGCTTGCATAGATGCGCCTGTAGGAAAGACAACACAGATGCTTGAGATTGCCTGGAACATGGGATTCAGCAGCAATGTGAATCTCCTTGTTCACTTATTATCAGTGATTCACCATGTTTTAATATAGACAAATATTCTCCTGGCTTTTTTGGTGCAAAATGCTAACATCATTGAAATCTAAATTTGTTGGAAAAGGATTTGAGTGAACTTGCTTAAATAAACTCACACCATGTACCAACTGTAGAGTCTGCAGCTTTGGTCCCAGAGAGGACCAGCTGATGGTGGTATCTGAGAGCACTCTGTTTTCAGGTCATTCAGTGATCATAGAATCATAGAATGGTTTGGGTTGGAAGGGAACTCAAAGATCATCTAGTTCCAACCCCCCTGCCATGGGCAGGGGAACCCTCCACTACACCAGGTTGCCCAAAGCCTCATCCAACCAGGCCTTGAACCCTTCCAGAGATGGGGCATCTACAACTTTCCTGGGCAACCTGTGCCAGTGCCTCACTACCCTCAGAGTGAAAAATTTCTTTCTTATATCTAATCTAAATCTCCCCTTTTTTAGTTTAAATCCATTGCCTCTTGTCCTGTCGCTACATACCCTTGTAAAAAGTCTGACCCGCGTGCAGGACCTTGCACTTGGCCTTGTTCAATTTCATGAGGTTCTCACAGGCCCACCTCTCCAGCCTGTCAAGGTCCTTCTGGATGGCATCCCTTCCCTCCAGCGTGTCCACAACACCACACAGCTTGGTGTCATCTGTGAACTTGCTGAGGGTGCACTCGATCCCACTGTCCATGTCACTGGCAAAGATGTTAAATAACACTGGCCCCAGTACTGACTCCTGAGGATCAACGCCATTGTTCCGGCATCCTATAGAGAGCGACTCACAGGACAGTGTGTACTGCTCTGGTGATCCAGGACCAAGTCCCAGTCTGCATTTATGCCCATGTCGAATCTGAGTGGCTCCATCCAGTTACTTTGGATTTAGACTGGTAAAAAGAGATTAAAAAGCAGCTGCTTTAATTTCTACATTTCCTGACTTTTCAGTACATTTAAAAATTGTAACCTTCCTGTTACTATAAAGTATGTTTTTATACTTTGTATTCAGCTATAAATGCTGAAGGATGCCAGACCACAAATCTGGACCTAGCATTAGTCTGCCAAAAGGCATAGTGGAACAACATGTTTATGTTACAGTAATTGATAAATCCACATCACTTAAAACCATCCAGAATTATTACACATGGCATCTTCAAATGTGTCCTGTGTTAAATGCTTTTGAGATATTGACTGATTCATTGAATCATGTATGTGAATTACATGTACCAGGCCTGAGCCTCAAGCTTTTTCTGCAGACAGCTGTTTGTAAGAGTAGGCACAAGGCACTGCTGGCCTTGTTTGGGTCTGGAACAGCTGTGCCTCACTCATACCTGATGTGAAAGGCACAAGATATTAGAAAATCAGGCACAGGCAGCATCAAAATTCAGTGACACATTCTAGCAGGTAGCCTTTAACAGTGTTTCTGAGACAAGTCCTAGGACCACTGCAACAAGATCGCTGGGAACTGGATAAATGCATAGCCAGGTTTCAGGCTTTGAGCAACTTTGCTATGGCAAGGTTTCCACTCACATTGGTCCTTGAGTTTGGTGGGAGAAAAATGCTCAGGTTTTTCATTTTACACTTTTCCCCAAAAAGATGGTAAGCTCTTGATGAGTAAATCTGCCAAGAGATGAAAACTTGTCATATGCTTTTGTCCAGTAGAACATTTCTGTAGAACATTCCAGTAGTCCAGTTCTGGTGTCCCCACCATAAGAGAGACATAGATTTGTTGGAGCATGTTCAGAGGAGGGCCACAAAGATGATCCAGGGGCTGGAGCACCTCTGCTACCAGGGCAGGTTGCGGGAGCTGGGATTGTTCAGCCTTGAAAAGAGAAGACTTCGGGGGGACCTAATAGCTGCCTTCCAATACCTGAAGGGAACTTATAGGAAGGCTGGAGAGGGACTTTTTGCAAGAGTGTCCACTGATAGGGCACGGAGAAATGGGTTTAAGTTGAAGGAGAACAGATTTAGATTAGATCTTAGGAAGAAATTCTTCAGTAAGAGGGTGGTAAGACTTTGAAATAAATTGCCCAGAGAAGTTGTGGATGCCCCCTCCCTGGAGGTGTTCAAGGCCAGGTTGGATGGAGCCTTGAGTAGCCTGATCTAGTTGAGAGGTGTCCCTGTCCATGACAGGGAGGTTGGATTAGATGATCTCTAAAGTCCCTTCCAGCCTATGCCATTCTATGATTCTATGATTTCAAGGGTTTTTTCTTACTCTTTTTTTTTTCCTTCTGCCCATTTAGAATGACTGTGTCCTTATACACATGCTGTAGAGCAAACCCATCTGACTGCATCCTCCTGTCTATTTAAAAGGAGAGGAAGGGAAGTAGTTCTTTTGCACTGGTGGTCATTTCAGGACCATCTAGGACATTGGCACGGTAAAACAGATAAATAAATATAGAGTATTGTGTTTCTTTGTACATCCCTTCAATTTCTTTCTTCCATGTAGCTGTCTTAACATGTGCAGCATTCACTTCTCAGACCATTATTAGGCTTGATTTTAAAACTGCAGCAAGAGAACTGCATGGAAAAGTACTGCCACATGGATCACAGTGTATTTGCCTGTTCCACCTTGAAAATAAATCTTCCATTTTTTCTGCCTCTTAGCCAAATGCATCCAAACAAGAATAAAAAAGTTACTAATTGCTTTGAATGCTACATCCATAACATATGGATAGATGCCATACTGTAGCATAAACCATCCTGAGTGGAATTACGTCATGTCAGGAAAAAAACACAATATAGAATCCCACTTCTAGACTAGAGCAGACTCTACTAGAGCGGAGCAAGAAAGTGTAGAACACTATAAAAAGATTGCTAAATGGAAGCAGCAACCTTTGCCATCCGAGGCTTGGTGATCACTGCGTGAGCCCCGAACAGGGTGGGTTAAACAGCTTGCCAGTGCTGAGTGATTCCAATGCTGCGTGTTTCCGTGGTTGTCAGTTAAAGCACTGCCTGCAATAACGTGATGTGTTGTTAGCAAAATGCTTTAAATGCTACCCTAAAGGGAGGGCAATTTTAGCAAGGCTTCTCTTTTTCAATATATCATCTGCCAAGCCCAGTCATTTTTATAAGGTGCAGGAGAGCAGCCAAGAAAACTAAAAAAAAAATCTAAAAAAAGAAAAGTGTATATATGTGTTTGTATGTACATATAAATTGTAGGGGGAAGGATGCTGAAAAAGTGTATTCATCAAATATGGCAAGCAGAGTGAATGTGGTGAAAAGTTTGCAATTTTACTGCATACTGAAGATATTAGTTGGTATTTGAAGAGGACAAAACTGTAATGTCATCACTGCCTTGGAAGAAGGCGCTGACAGGCTGCATAAGCAAGCGTTTATCTCTGCCATCAGATCTCCAGCCAATGTGTTGGTAGGGGACTGCCGGAGGAGGTCGGCTGGGACTCGGGGAAGGCGCTGGTGTGCTGCGCGCTTGCGAAATGTAGCCCCCAGCATGCAGAAGGAATACGTCTCAAATAGTCCTTTCTTAAACTGTGTGTTTCCTTCTGAATCGAAGGCCCTTGTCAGATGAGTCAGCTGTCAGAAGGAGGGTCTCCGCCAGACTCCCCGTGCCTGCTGGCTGACCTCAGCTTCCCGTGATTTTGTCCTTTTGGATACACCCTTTCAGATGTGAGCCGTTTGGTAGCTCCCTGCTCTAATAACACCAAACCTAGAAAATAACTGTGAAGGGAGGACACGTTTACGATCTGATCCTGAGCCTTTGGAGTCAACGGCAAAGGTCCTGTCAACTTTCTTCCGTGTAGATCTGAAGCTGTAAATGCTCTTCTGTTTGGCCACAGTGTGTCAAGGCACTGATAAGACCTTATGGCCCAGATGGACCTCCCCGGGGTCCTCCCCCTCACCCTGCCCAAAGTCCAGAAGCCACAATTCACCTTCAGTCCCTGCCTGAGCTGTGCTGGAAGAGAGCTGGTCTCCAGCTGCATCACAGCTGTAGGTCCTCTTGTTCTGGGCCGGACCTGTATGTTGCCTCCTAGTTTCACTTTGGCCCTGTGTCATCACCATGAACTTGCCCAGTGATCTGCTTTTATTCTGTTTGCTTCCAGTGATGTTATCCATCCGTGATGCATGCACTG